AGCATGACAGGAGAGAGCAAAATTGTAAATATATAACTGTTACTTTTATTTCTTCATTTCTTTCCCCTTCTGCATGCTTAAGAATTTGCATTACCACCCTCTGCAGGTGCACAAGAATTCTAAGGAACCATTCCTTATGTCTGGATGCAAGGTGGCTGATGGAAGTGGAACTATGCTGGTAAGATTGCAACTTCTTTTACCTTTCTTACTTTGTTCCTTCACATTACTGCATGAGCATACTCTTCTGCAGTGCTTTTTTTTTTTTTTTAATTAAGGATTATGTATCTTCTGATGTGTGATTGCATGAACATGAATAAGTTATATCTCTAGATCTTATTGAAATTACTGTATTTTTGGAAATGCTTTATTTGTTTGCCTATCTTGTCTGGCCTTCATCAGCTGCTAACTGGGTTCCTTGTCCCCCCTTCTTCCCAATCCACAATTAGGTAACCAGTGTTGGGATTAATACCGAGTGGGGATTGCTAATGGCAAGTATTTCTGAAGACACTGGTGAAGAGACACCGTTGCAGGTTACCATTTTCCCTTGATGGTGGTATATGGTGATTGCATTTTCTCATCTCATTTTTACCTATTGTTGATTTTTGTAGGTACGCTTGAATGGTGTCGCAACTTTCATTGGTTTTGTTGGACTCAGTGTAGCTTTTGCTGTCTTGGTGGTTCTTTTAGTCAGGTATTCTAATCTTGGCCTAATGGTGAAGCTCTCTCTCTCTCTCTCTCTCCCCCTCCCTTCCTCCCTCCCTCTCTAACCTGATCATAAAATTTTGGGCTTGCATAGATACTTCACTGGCCATTCAAAAAATGCTAATGGAACTGTGCAGTTCACTGCTGGCAAGACTAAAGTTGGAGCAGCTGTTGATGGAGCCATTAGAATTCTTACCGTTGCTGTATATTGATCTTCCTTCTCTTGCTATTTCATGTGTTTACATGAACTCTTATCCATCTATATTTGTATCTGTGTCTAATACTTGACTCTTGTAGGTTACAATTGTGGTTGTTGCAGTGCCTGAAGGACTTCCCTTAGCTGTTACGTTAACGTAAGTTTTTTCCTCTGTAAAATTATTTTAAGTTTATGGTGCTCTATGCATGAGAT